ATTAATGGTCTCTTGCATCTCATCCATTCTGTTTTGAAGTCCTTCCAGAGCTTGTTTTATTTCTGTATTCTCCCTCCTTAGTTCTTGCATATTTCTCTGCAAGTCCATCAGCATGGTTATGACTTTTGTTTTGAATTCTTTTTCAGGAAGACTGGTTAAATCTATCTCCCCAGTTTCCATCTCAGGGGAAGATGTAGAAGATATCGAAGCTGTCTGGGTTTTCTTGTCTGGATCAAATTTTTTTGCCTTTTCATGTTGATAGGTGCAATGGTGCGTTATTGACTCATCTGTCAGCTGGGAGAGCCAAGACTTGCTCCTGGCCTTTCTTTACTGGGACAACTGCGACCCCTAGTGGCTTGTGTTGGTCAATTTTGTGTAGACTGGGTCTCTGTATCTTGCCCGGCCGGTATGGAGGAAGCTCCCTTGCTGTGGGTGTGGCCAGCCTCAGCTGCTGCTGTGCTATTGTGGGGCCCTGGAGGGGTAATTGACAGGGGGCTGTTTGGCTGTTTACCTCTGTGAGGGGTCTCAGATCTGTTGCCCAGGGGTTTAGTGTGCCCGGAGTTCCCTGAAATTTCCAGCTGCTGGGCTGTGACCCTGGATGCTTCCGTCCAGCTGTGGGGTCCCTGTCCCTTTAAGACTTTCAAAGAGCACTCACTTTTCTTTGTCCCAGGGCGCCAGCTTCGGGTCCCGCTCACAGGTCTTACTGTCCTGTTTCCCTAGTATCCAGGACCCGACGCATACACTGTGTGTGCTCTCTGGTGTGGATGGCTGGGGCTGGGTGTTTAGCAGTTCTGGGCTCCCTCTCCCTCCCTGCTATGACTCCTCTCCTCCCACCGGGAGCTGGGGTGAGGGGCCTCGGGTCCCGCTGGGCTGTGGCTTGTATCTTACCCCTTTCACCAGGCTCTGGGTTCTCACAAGTGTGGATGTAGTCTGGCTGTTGTTATATGTCTTCTGGTCTCTCTTTTAGGATTAGTTGTATTTGTTGTATTTTCAAAAATATATGTTTTTTGGAGGAGATTCCCATTGTCCTACTCACACCACCATCTTGGCTATGCCCCTGATTCACATCCATTTTTATGTTTTTATGAAGAAAACAAAAATATCTGATCCAAAAATAGAACTGAAAAAATGTTCGCTGGCATATTATTGGAAATTCAATAAAATACCAAATTACTTTAAAAAAATAAAGTATAAAAGAAATAAAAATGAGCCTGGCTTCAGTTTTTCTCTACAAAACATAGAAATTGAGAATTAATGGGGAAAAAAAGCCCTTAATGTTTTCAAAGGAAAATAATGGTAACCTATGTAATATCATGTAATATAGAATTCAAATATGAGAATAAAATACATTTTCAGAGATGCAAGGATTCAGAAATTTTATCGGTCATGCATTATGAAAAAGAAATATATCTCAATAAGATTCCAGCAAACTGAATTCACTGATTATACACTATGACCAAGTGGAATTAATCCCTGAGATGTAAGTTGGCTTAAATATGCAAATCAGTGTGATAGAAAACTGCTTTAACAGAATGAAAAGTAAAAATGACATGACTATCTCAGAAGATAGAGAAAAAGCATATGATGAAGTTCAACATTCTTTCATGATAAAAATTTCAACAAAATGGATTTAGAAGGAAATTTCCTCAGCACAAAAGGCCATTTATGAAAAGCCCACAGCTAATATGATAACCAGTGAGGGAATACTGACAGCTTTTCTTCTAAGATCCAGTACAAGCCAAGGAAGCCCACTCTCACCACCTCTATTCAGCATAGTACTAAGTGTACTAAGTACTAGCATGAGAAACCAAACAAGAAAAGGAAATAAAAGGAATCCAAATCAGAAAGAAAGTAGTAATGTTATCTATTTGCAGTGGACATGATCATATGTGTAGAAAACTCCAAAAACTTCACATACAAAAAACTGTTACAACTAATAAATTCAGGAAAGATGCAGGATACAAAATCAATACACACAATTATTTGCATTTCTTTACACCAAACTATATGAAAAGGAAACCAAGAAAACAATCCCATTTACAATAGCATTAAAAAGAACAAAATACTTAGGGAAAATTTAACCAAGGAAGTGTAGGATCTGTACACTGAACACTATAAGACATGATTAAAGAAATTGAAAAAGACACAAATGATGGGCAGTAACTGCAATGGGGTATGGGGGATACACAATATGGTTGAATGTAGAAACCACATTGTTTTTTCATGTGAAACCTTCATAAGAGTGTATATTAATAATACCTTAATAAAAAATTAAAATTGAAATTAAACATTTCAGCCCTTAAAAAAAGTAAAAGACACAAATAAATAGAAAGATATCTCATGTTCATTGATTGAGAAAATTAATATTGTTAAAATGCTCGTGCTACCCAAAACTTCTACAGATTCAATGAAATGCCTATCAAAATTCCAATAGCATTTCTCACAGAAATAGAATAAATAATCATAAAATACTTATGGAACCACCAAAGACCGTGTACAGCCAAAGCGATCCTGAGAAGGAACAAACCCAGAGGCTTCTACTTTCTGATTTTAAATTATGTTTCAAAGATATAGTAATCAAAACAGTATGATACTGGCATAACGGACACTTATGTCAATGGAACAGAATTGAGAGTCCAGAAATAAACACTTGTATACATAGTCAACTAATATTTGTCTAAGGTACCATAACTACCTAATGGGGAAAGGAGAGTCTCTCCATTTAACTATATTGGGAAAACTGGATATTCACATGCAAAAGAATGAAATTAGAACCTTATCTTACACCATACACAACAATCAACTCAAAATGGATTAAAGACTTAGACATAAGACCTGAAACAATAAAACTTCTAGAAGAAAACACAGGGGAAAAGCTTACTGACATTTGTCTGAGTAATGTTTCTTGGATACGCTTCTCTTTTCTTCTTGCTCTGACTATACAGCTTCCAAAAGTGTGTGTGTGTGCACGCGTGCACGCGTGCGCGCGCACATGTGCAGTTTTGTTTGGTGGTTGGGGGAGTTGAACGGGGGGCAGGAGAGGTATCCAGTGTTGCTGACACTGATGTCTCTATGGATAATTTCCACTGAGTTTCAGTTGGTAACTCTGTAGCCAGTTTCTTCTTTTTTCCCCCACTTTATTAATTTTTTCAGTAAGGTATTATTGATATACACTCTTATGAAGGTTTCACATGAAAAAAACAATGTGGTTACTACATTCACCCATGTTACTGTGTCCCCCCATACCCCATTGCAATCACTGCCCAACAGTATAGTAAGATGCCACAGAGTCACTATTTGCGCTCTCTGAGCTACACTGTCTTCCCCATGATCCCCCCCACTCCATGTGTGCCAATAATAATACCCCTCAGTCCCCTTCTCCCTCCCTCCCCACCAGCCCTCCCCCATGCCTCCCCTTTGGCAACCACTAGTCCCTTCTTAGAGTCTGTGAGTCTGTTGCTGTTTTGTTCCTTCAGTTTTGCTTCATTGCTATACTCCACAAATGAGAGAAATCATTTGGTACTTTCTCCACCTGTGTAGCCATAGTTTCTTGTTCCCCAGCTTCAGCCCAGCAGCACCCCAGTGGAAGGCTCCCAGATTGTCAGTCTTGGTCCAGATACCATGAACTAGTACTGGCCCAAGGCAAACCAGTAAACTCTACCATCCAATTGGTAACAAATACACCTTCTCCAAAAATTGGAATTCCAATCTTGGGGAAGGGTTTCATTTTCTCAATGTGTTCCTTCCTTGGATTTCATCTCTCAGTTCCAGAGCATTCTTCAGAGTACTCATTAACTCCTTCTTGTTAGCCCCCAATATTATTAACAATTGCATGTAAACTTCTGCGTTCTAATTACTTTGTGGTCTGAATCCTGTTTGAACCCTAAGTGATATATAATATGGAAAATATGTAATGTCAGCCTCATAGGCATTTGATAAATAGTATCTTTTTACTGTACAAGATTTAATGAACAAGAAAATTCATAATGGAAAGAATTTATATTGAGGCCAGAATTTGAAGTTAATGATCATTAAACATGTTATTTTTCAATAATCATTAATAGCCAACATATGTGTTACATAATAAGATTATTTTAATACAAACCCATTATTCTAGATTCATACCTCCTAGCTTCTAAAGTTATTTTAGATTTCCAAGTAATAAATATTTATTGACTAAGAAACAGTAAGTTGTAATGACAAGTGTATGAGCTGTGGTATGGTAAGTCTGGATTCCAGTCCAAGTTTTACCTCTGTGCTTAGGTGGTTATCTGCAAGCATCATTCAGCCCCTCATTATGATGTCTTCATCTATAAATTAAGAGTCTTAGACTAGATTACCTCTGTTATTTCTATTTATGGTGTTCAATAATTGTTTAATAGTTATCTAAAGTCACTTTTTTTCTCCAGAGCTTCCTCATAGCATTTTTTTACCTCAGCATTTCTGAGGGTGTAGATCAAGGGATTTAACATTGGAGCCACCATAGTATAAAAGATGGCAATGGTTTTATCAACGGGCAGAGTGGTCACTAGATACAGATACACAAATATACAGGGTACAAAGAATAAGACAACTACTGTGATGTGAGCAACACAGGTGAAAAGGGCTTAGTGCTTGGCTTCCAAGCTGAAGGTCCTTAGGGATCTCAGAATGATCACATAGGAGACCAACAAGAGAAGGAAGTTTAACAGGCAGATGAAGCCACTGTTGGCAGCAATGAAAAGACCAAGGATATGAGTGTCCATGCAGACAAGTTTAAACAGAGGATACAAGTCACACATGAAGTGATCTTTGACATTGGGGCCACAGAAGGACAGCCAGACTGTGAAGAGGATCTGAATGGTTGCATGGAGAAATCCTCCAGTCCAGGACACTCCCAGCAGAAGAATACACAGCCTGTGACTCATGATGGTCATGTAGTGCAGAGGCTTGCAGATGGCCACATAGTGGTCATAGGCCATCACTATCAGTAGGATGATCTCAAGAGCACCAAAAATGTGTTCTGCATAGACTGGAGCCATACACCCATTAAAGAAGATAATTTTCACCTTGTGAAGGGAATCCACAATCAGTTTAGCAGCTGAAGAAAAGGAAGAAATTATGTCTACCAAGAAAAGCTGGGTCAGGAAGAAGTATATGGGGGAGTTCAGAGCCTGGCTGGTGGTAATGGTAATTACAGTGAGTAGGTTACCTGAGAGTGTTAGCAGGTATAGAACCAAAAATACCCCCAAACACTATTTTATGCATTTTGGGGTTCTGTGTAAGACCTATTAAAATGAACTCAGTCACATTCCTTTATTTTCCATTTATGTATGTAGTGTGGGTGATAAAAACTCCAGGAAGGAAGGCTTTACCTTTAAAAAAAGAAAAAAGAAGGGAAATGGAGTAACATAGACCCAAATGCTGCATTTTAACAGTACTCTCACAATATTACAGATGATTCTTTCTCTTCCCAAAACTCTCTAGGAATAGTACCTCAAAACTTCTCTTAGTCTTTTATTATCCTGGCCTCTAGATATTCTTATAAAACATAGGGTACTCAGAAGAAAGGAACTCCATTTCCTTATATCAGGGTAATCTTTGCAAAACTTCACTTGAACATCAATATTGTGGAATAATGTAGTTATTAGAAGTAATAATTTTGTATTCTAACAAGACTTTAAAATGTATATATGAAAAACATGAATAAAAAACACAAAATAATCATCGTTGTCATAATAATTTAAATGATAATAATGGAAATAGTATATGAAGATTATAGGTTTTATAGATACATCTTTTAAGAATAAAATCAAATTTAAAAATTTGTTATGAAATTTTATGTAGGTGTTATTTATATTAAAACATATGCATAGAAAAGTCAATGAGGAAATGAATTACTATATTTAGGACATTAACTCCTCCTTGTGAGATTATGGGTGTGTTTTTTTTCCTTACATCTTTTAGTATTTTCCAAATACCTATGGCTTGCATTATTAATTTTATGATCATAAAATAAAAATAATTTCTATGTATTTTTTCTTAGAGGACACTAAAGTTGAAATAATGAAATTTTAATGAGTGTAATATATATGGAAAACAGAATTGTACATTGGCATATTACGGGACTCCAGGAAATATTTACTAACTTTAATTAAAGTAATTCCTGTAACGTAGTCAAGAAATTGTTGTTACTGGTTTGCCAAATAAATATAGAGCAGGGGCCCAACTGGGCACTAACTGCTTTCAGATGACAGAAGAGAGAATGAGGCTGCCCTAACTGTCCCATGGATCACTTACAATTACCTAAATGCCATTTTTAGTCTACCAAACAAAGATTATTGATCTCTGGTTTTAACTTATGCCGTTGATAATGATAGTCAATAAGTCAATTCTGAATAGTTTAATGCCAAGTCTATTTCCATTTACTCAGTAAGGAATACATATTCATTCAATTAAACCTCCAGATAGCAATTAAAACTAAGTTTTTGCTACTATTAATTCTCACTTTCTCCTGGATAGCTATTCAATTATTTTCTATATGTCTTAATGTATTCTTAAAGCATAAAGATGCAAAGGGTAAGATGAATTGTTCCTGTTACACATGGGTAAGGTACATAATGAGGTACATGGGAAAGAAACCTCTTCCAGATGCTCTCACAGATGCTTCATTGAGAAGCTAGCTTTGGCATTCGAAGCCCCAAGACAGCGGTCTCCATTCTAGGTATCCCAATGCATCAGAGAATCCTGCCATGGTTAAGCACCTTGAGAAGGAAGTTGAATGCACTTCTAATTGCTGACTCTTCTCTAGAGGAGATGGCCCTTGGGAGAACCAACAACCAAATAATATGCTTTATGATTTCTTGAAGGTCTGAACCAAAGTTGGATTTCATGTCAAAAACAGACAGAAATTCCAAATTTGATCCATTCACCATCATTATTTCACTTATTTCTTCAAATTTTTGTAAATCTTAAAGTATTATAATACATTTTTTAAAACTTTTTTACAATTTTCAGCCCTCATTTTGTCTCATACTGCACAGAAACAAACAAAACAACTTGGTCTTATATCAAATTAATGTCTTTGATGTCCTCTGTTAATTGATAGACTCAAGAATAGAATCAGTGTCTTTTTCTGTCCCAGTCAAAAGACAATAGTGTTGCCTGTTGCCACTGAAATCCGCTAATACCCATACTTTAAGAGAAAGAAGAAATGGAGAAGAGTTGATCTAGCAGGATGACCCTGATCTCCCATAAAAGGCCTCTCAGGGTGAGGGGGATAAAAGGGCACAATAATTCACAATCACAATATAAGTTGGTCACAGGGACAGTAGTACAGCATAGCCAATGATTCTGTAACATCTTTCTATGTTGAGATAACAACTGCACTAGATGGAGTGAAGATTTAATAATATGAGTAACTGTTGAACCACTGTGTTATACATTTGAAACCAATATAAGACTGTATATAAAGATACTTCAATAAAAATAAATAAATAAATATTTTTTAGGTTGCCCCTCAGACTGCAAAGGAAAGGCAAGAACATAAGCAGGAAAGCTTCTTTCAAGCAGAGAAACCTTGTTACTAGTTTAAATCACATATTCAAACATTTTGAAATACAAATTTTTACTTTATCTTTGTTATTCCCCATTCCTAATAACATACAGATATTTCTTTTTATACCATATAATTCCTATAATAATAAAGTTTATTGAGTGTTCACCATGTTCTGGCACTATACTAAGTGATTTACACAAAGTATTTCACTTAATCTTTGCATCTATGCTATGAGGTTGTTACACTATTATCTACATTTTAAAGAAAAGGAAACTGTGCTTAGGAGAAGGTAAATGAATTGCCCAAAGTCATAATGATTTAAAAAAAAAAAAAAACAGAAGAGCCTGTATGCAAATCCAGAATGTCTATCTCTAGCTCTTTAACACTTAGTGCTCCGCAATAGAGATTGACTTCCAGGAATCAGCAATGCGAGTTTGGGCAAATGGAGTAACTAAAGCCACCACCTGTGAGCATATGAAAACCATGGAAGTGCTTTTGCTAATCTATGAAATGTAAAGTTAAATGTTAAATGAGTGGAGGGTCTACTAGACAAGATCCTATAATCATCATATATTAGAAATCTTCCAGTACATTGCATTTGGTAATTAATACTCTCTTTAAAGATGTGGAACTGAGGCCAAGATGTAAAGCCCAAAGAGACACAGCTATTTGATTAGTATCAGACCACAACAAAAATATAGGTCTTAAAATGCCCAATACATTGATTTTTTTTTTCTGCCACCACATTTTATCTTCTTTAAGATGACTTAAGATGAGTATATATGAAGAAAATTTTCACCCTATGGTAATTTTCATCTCTTATCTTTAGCAATATTTGTCTTGACTATCCAAAAAAAGGGGCTAGGTCTGAGTTCAAGTTTGCAAAAATTCAGCCATATTTTCTGAACTACATCCACTGTAGCAGAAATATGGTGTTATCTGGTTAGAATAAGATACAAGAAAGTCTTAACAAAGTGAAAACAAAAAATGACCTGAGTCTGGAGTTTAATATAGATTCCCAAACATAGAAAAGGTACATTCTTCCCTTGCAGAGCCTATAGCCTATAGCCTATATTTTGGTATTTTAATGCATTTTCCTATGGATCTATTTTAGGGCTAAAGATTTCCTTCAAGAAACAGAATCCAAATTTGTTCTCCTCTTTCTCATGCTGACCTGTATTGACCACAATGAAGGTCACACACCCTGTTTCAGCTCCACTTCAAATTTGCCTTTCTTTATTTCCAGCTGCCTCTCATACTGCTCCTATCAGTACAAGATGAGATTCCTCCCTCTTTCATCCCTGGAAATTATCAAAGTCACAACACTGTTTTAAGGAAATGACTATCCAATACATAAACCAATCTTATGCCCTAACCCTGAAGGAAATCCCATCTAGCTCCAATCTGCTGCACTATCTGCACATTCAAAAATCTAGAAAATGACTCAGCAATCCATAAAATGTAAACCTGTTCCTGATAAATTATGGATATTTACATATACAAAGAGAAGAACAGATATTTCTGCAAAGAGTCCTAAAACATCTAAAAGTGATACTCCATCAAATATCAGAGAGTAATGCTTCAATAATTTTAATCATTGACAAGAATATGAGAAAATTGAAATGTAAGAAATTGAATGAAAAATTGGCAATTCTAGTTAACTTACCGTGGTTGCCTGTGTAGTTAAGGAGAATGCCCAGTCTACTCAGGAATAATGAATAACCATTACATGTAGTTGTTCAAACATCATGTCATGTAATCTATATTTCTCAAGTCCCCACTTACTGGACAATATTACAGGAAGCAGAGAATATGAAGATAGTATAAATTTATTCAAATGGATTCAGCAAGCATCTTCAAAGCGTCAGTGCCTCAAGTCAAAGGAAAAGAAAATGTTATGTTGAATTTGAAAACCAAAGTCCTCAGGTACTGAGGAGAGAATCTTTGGATCTTTAACACCTAGCTCTCTAGTTACACAAGAAGACACAAAAATTTCTGTCACTTAATAGCCCCTCTTATTCTGCTCTTAAAATAAGAAAACAGCTTATTTTTGAATCATAGCATTTAGAAAGAATACTAAGAACATTAAAGGACCTATCTTTATGTGTAAGCTTTACCCTCCCAGGAATTAATCATGTTTTTTTAATATTTTGCCTTAGAAACAGATAATTGGTAGAATTCATCTATAAGCCACACATCTTCATCTGCTTCGTTTGATTGGTTCTCTTCCCTGTACTTTAAACTTATGTATTAAAAGCCTACATTCCTAGTCTAGAAAATTATGTGATAAAACACTCCTCTTATAAGCCCTTGGGTATCATAAACTGGGACATGAAAGGCTCTAAATGAACAACAACATGGGGTTTCATTCAGGTTGTATGTTCCTGAGGAAATTTCTTCAATGGCTGAGGTCACCAGAGGAGGTTGAGATACTGAGTCACGCTCTCAACTGTACTATAAACACATCAGGACATACTGTTTGCAGGACCATTGGGACCTCATATAATTTTAGTCAGTGTGATATCTAGAATTGGAGGCCAAATGGAGGGTAAACTCCTAATTCAATGTGTACAGTGTAGAACTCTAAAAAGGATAGATTTATATGTCTTCCCACTGACTTCTTTTAGAATTCTAGGAATTCCACTGGCTTTTCAATGAAAGAAGTCATACCTAGGCATATTTCTTCAAATTTTCTTCACACATAATATCCTAAGGCCAGTGGAGATTAGAACATCCAAATATGTTCTGCCACCTTGCAAACACATACTAGAACAAATAATCTGCTGCTTAAAAGAGAGGGTGTTGTTTAAATCACATACCTTGAGAGCTGAAGCAACTGCCATATTTAAATGTATAAGTAGGCAGTTGGTGGACAACTTGGAAAAATAGTAATAACAGCAACTCTCATTACTAAGCACTATGTCCTTTATTCTATTAATATGGTGTGTTATGTTGACTTATTTTCATATATTGAGCTAACCTTGTATTCCTGGGATAAATCCCACTTGCTCTTGGTATATAATGCTTTTGATAGGCTACTGAATTCAGTTTACTATCATTTTATTATTTTTGCATCTGTAGTCATAAGAGATGTTGGTTATAGTTTTCTTGTAATATCTTTCTCTACTTTTGATAGGGTACTACTGACCCTACACAATGGGTTGGGAAGTGTTCCCTCCTATTCTATTTTTTGGAAGAGTTTGTGAAGGATCATTGTTAATTCTTCCTTAAATGTTTGATAAAATTCATCAGTAAAGCCATCTTAGCCTAGGTTTTTCTCTGTGGGATTTTTTTTATTACTAACTCAATCTTTTTACTTATAAGTATATTTATATTATCTATTTCATTTGAGACAGTTTCAATAGTTTTTGTTCTACTAAGAATTTTCCCATTTCATCTGTTATATAAATTGTTGGCATACAATTTGGTATCCCCTTATAATATTTTTTTTGTTTCTGTAGGTTTGGTAGTAATGTCCCCTCTTTGATTCCTTTTTTTTTCGGTAACTTGAGTCTTCTATTTCTTTCTTTAGTCAATTTAGCTAAAGGTTTGTCACTTTGCTGATCTTTTCAAAGTATCCACTGTGGGTTTTATTGTTTTTCTATTCTCTATTCTCTAATTTATTTGTTTCTACTCTAATCTTTGTTATCCTTATTTCTGTTTGCTTTGGTTTTAGGTTACTTTTCTTTTTCCAGTATCTTAAGGGGGAAAGTTAGGTTATTGGTTTGAGAACTTTCCTCTTTTTTTAACATAGGTATT